AGGCCAGGTACGGTTACTGTGCAGYAACCGTGCGGTAATTTCTACCGTTTGTTTCTCGTTCATACGGAATTGACTCTATATATAATGCCTTTATAGGCAACCATMATTGTCCCTTTTCATCTTTTATTTAATATTCTATGACGTCAGTAACTCCAATTGCGTATTCCCCGTGGCATACTTGTTAAACGGAGTTAATGGCATTGAAAGTTTCGTGGTTGTGCGCTGGGCTCGTTAGATTCTTAGTTAGCATAGTTAAGCCATTCAGTAACTATGAATGTCCTAACTATAATATGACGACCAGTAAAAACACTAATGTTTATTGAACAGTTTTATTACTCCTAACCCTAACTGAGCACCTGCAGCTACAACAGTCAGCCCTACAAAACGTATGACAAAATTGATACATAACAATGGCTGAGCAAGTTAATAGGTGAATAATCAATATCTATATGTTGTTGTTTAGCCCTTTACCGCTCCGCTTTGGATTATAGGTCGCCTATGTTTCTAAATAAATGCAAGTTTCCGAGATTACAAATTAAGACCACCACATGACAACAGCTAGTAACGAAAATCTATTTAAAGTTGAAAACATTTAACATCTAGTACAACGTCTGGGAAAGAAGGACCCAGACGTTGGAAATGCCTAAATTTCGACTTTGTGGTTCACCGCGGATAAGGGTGGGAATCACGTCTCTTCGTGTAAAGTGTTAGAGTCAAATTCGTCTTTTTCAAATCAAAATTCCAAGCAACATCTTTAGCATTTTTGAATTTTTGTTTTGTAAAAGTCTCTACAGATCTAGCCACAGCCCCCTTTTCGAGACCCAGCACGGCAAACCCAGATTTCTCACTTGCGAACTGCATCATGGGAGCGTGATTCAAACTCGACAGGGACCAACCAATGATCCTATTTTCATAGAATTTTTTAAGTGCCAAGCCACTCGTACCAATCGATAAAATTTTGAAAAGGTTTCAGTCTTTCGATGTTAAAACTTGCCCATTTTACATTGGTAGGTTCTGAAATCTGCCACAGAACGACTAGGGACGTGACCTTTCTCTAGCATCTGCAATTCAAAGCTAACTTCGTATTTGCGACATTGTCTTCGAAAAACCGCTTCCCACTTTCCTTCGGAGGAGTATAACTCTACAATAACTTGATTGACAACTCCTTATATGGTTTAGATTTAATATTTTGWAATATCAGTCTCAAAAACAAGCTAAAATCACCCAGAAGTCGAGTTGACCCACCAAAAACATTGTTGCGTTAAATGAGCTCGATAACGAATCACTGATGAATGTGTTGCTTTTAGTCATTTAATGCTATGCGACTTAGATGGAAACATAAAAAGCAACAGGCCCCTTCAACAAAATGCCCTGGCATTTGCAAGGCATTAATTAGAAACTCATTACCGCTCATCATCATGGAATGATATTTACATCATCGATTATCGATGATTAGGCGCGCGTCAGTGAGAAGTTGTGTGTGTTATCTTTATTGACTCGGTGTGCCTGTAGGGGTTTCCAAAGGGACTTGTTTGGGTTCATGGTACCTCCAAGTAAAATGCTAGGACAAATGATTTTCGTCTACTTGATGATTCCTAATGTATAGAAATTTATAATGATATTGTCAGGAGACGAGTTTCTCAAATCCTCGACCACACCCGTCCCTCTAAGCATAGAAAACCTCTAGCAACCATTTTGTCCTCGACTGGTCTCAAGAAAAGCGTCTTTCGACAGCCGAATTCCCCCGAATATTTTCAAGCCATCCTCCAAGGGGGTCGGTATAGTACTATATTCTCTCTGATAAATTATCCCTCTCTCATTGTCTCGGTTGTAATAAGTTACGGGAGATGCGACTTTGCTGATTCTTATCTATTCATACAATTTAATTTAAGTATTGTACTTATACATGCATCCACACCCAACTGACAACAATTATTATTTACAAACAAAGTATTTTCTTTAATACTCATATTTTAAAAGTATGAAAGACACAGTGTCACTCTGGAAGCTTTTTTGGTCATTTATCATTAAACTCTTTATACCTGGTTGGTCCACCATCTAGCAATACATGCAGTTTTAARKCCAGKATTATCACTGGSGATATCTRTTTCTTCCTTGAAATAGCCGTCAAACATTTATGTAACAGCGATGAAGACGAGCAAAGTTCAAGAGTGATACTCGACCTTAAGATAGGGTAGATCTAGTGCTACACGGCCCCAGTGAAATATTATGAATGTTAAGATCTACAATTTTGCATCCGATAGTATTGCTAATTTAGAGTTTTTTAGCTATATCTCACTGTCTACCTTATGAATACTGCGCAAGCCGGTCTTGAAGACCTGAAATAGACTGTACTAGAAATATCAACTTCATGTCGAAATCCTTTTCWAAATGAGATGTATATATACTTTTCGTGTTTCTTCTTCCTCTTCCGGTGCTAAGGCTGTGTTAAACACAATTTGAAAATGAAGAATTGAAAAGTTAAGGCCGAAGCGGGAGCATTAAAATACAAAACCAATTAGGATAATATCATATATAACGAGTTCTCAGTTTTCGCGGTCTATTCGTACTATAATCAATACTTATTTGTATAACAAATTAATGTTAATGTTCACGCATCTATTCAAATATGATTCAAATTCCTATGTTCCCCAAATCCCTTCTGTTCTCCCCTTCGATAATGTTATTTCTAATTTTGTTCGATATAACATTATAAAGAAACAAACTCCAGTGGTAATAGACTCGTGGAGAGCACTGGTGGTGAGCCAGAACATCCCGTCAAATGAAATCTACGAAGATGAACAGTTTCTATGAACGGTGGTGCGCCAATTTTTAATGTTCATGATGGAAAGCTTTATCCACGTGATTTGTAACTGACCAATGAATGGATCCCTCAGATTCAGTTTGTAATGGATCATGCAGCACTTTTGATGTCCACGTACTCTGTATTGATGGTTTTCGTCCCTACAAAAAGTATTTGGTAAGTATCAATTAGTAAAAAAATACGTAATAAAATTCTTGCGATGAAARCGATGCATGGTAGGAAACGTTGATTAAGGGAGCGATGTTAGGATGGCTAGTTTCACTCTTCTTTCCAATRCTAAGATATTACAAAAATAAATTATGATAAGTTATGTCATTTAATAAAGACAAAAAAATTGTACACGATTCATTCTGAAAAGTACCTCGAAAACACAGCATTCAACTATGTTCAACTGGATCCTACTTTCTACAAAAAAATATACATTCTTTTGCTGTTAATTTTTACCATTAGTAAGTCTTTCAAGCGCTACTGAGAACAATTCAGATATTGTCATTTTTGCAACGTTTCTATTGATAATCATTCTTTGGAATGATACCCCTTACAAGGTTCATGTAACGAAAGCCAATGATTCTTCAAATTCGTCCCGTATGACACAAATCAGATATATTTAAGCTTGCCTACCAGGCTGCTTGCTAAATCAGTAGAGCGACAACACGGGTTTTTTCCTGTCCAGAATACTATCTGGTAACCTTTTCTGAAATACATAAAAAGTTTTTTCACTATATTTAATCATTTTTTTCCGATGTACAACTCTATCTCTCCTTCTGTTGTGTTGTTGCCCTTACTTGCAGTAATAATGCCATCGCGTTTCGCCCTTTTCCTACTGAGTTTTTAAGAAGATCATATTATGTCATCAAACAAGTAAGTTAAAAAAAGCTTCTAACAAAAAAGAAGGATTGCCAGGATCATGTTTAGACGTTCCTATTGAAAATATTTGATCGTGTCACGTCGGAATTTGGACAGCAAGCACATGCGATTTTCTTTTTTGAACTGGGACCTTAWTTTCCGCGATAAACATATCTGGATCAGGYATGGGCTATACTGYCGCCACAATGAACAGTAAAAACAACTTAAAAATCTTTTWAAAAAAATATTTTCTCTCCRCAAAAGAAATCACATTCAGTGACGCTGGACACAAAGCGACCAGAGCTCGAAAAAGAAACAAACATGATAAAAGCCCTAAGGCTACATGACTGACGAGGTGTTCGAAAAAATATATATATTGTCAAATCTTTTATGACCGCTTTCATGTTTGTGTGTTTGTTGTTGTTGTTGTTCTTGATGTTGTTGTTGCTGTTGTTGTTGGTTTTTTTTTTTGTGAATTCATCCAAGACCATTGATTGTGCTATCTATATATCTATATCCTTCAATTATAAAATTTTGATATAAATTTGCGCATCAATGTACTGCATTTACACAGAGGATTTGAGACTTCATTGAATCAAGGATCGGTTGGGATCTAGATTTGGAACCTGGAATGAGCTAAAGATCAATACCCTTAAATTGCAAATTTCATTTCAACGTCAACAGGTGACACACAAGTACTATAGTTTTACATCTTACGTATAATTTGCATTATGACCGAAAATGACGAACAAGGTAACTGCTGTGTTTAGTCGCTATTAAGCATRCGCAATTTACTGCAACAGAAAACATTTTGAATAATTTATCCCGCATGGAAAGCAAGCAATCTGTTGGATAACGTAGGGCTGCCATCTGTCTTTGCTTTCTTCAAAACCTAATGAAGGTCTGAGACCTTTCCTAGTATTGGGTTGTCTCGGTGCTAGACGACCATGTTGTAAAGCTGGTACGACACCAGTCATGTATCAGATTTGCAAAGTCAATCACCTGACAAAATAGACAGCTCTTAATGGAGTAATTGTTCATGCATTATGAATGAGTTTTATAATAAGTCATACTACACTGAATACAAGAACGAAATGACATCATAAGACATACCACATTACTGAACACCATTTATTACCTTTGCTAACTTATATACATTAGATGTCTCCTTTTGTGGTTTGTTTGTACATTTAAGATAGTGTGACAACAATAAATCATAAGCCCTAAAAAGGCAACTTAYATACATAGTCGGAGTATGAATATTACACACATGCTAGGGAAGAGACCTTCATTTTGAACCACCGTTATTTTAAAAATGTTCTTTAGTCTGTTTTTAAGGTGTATATCGATGCAGACCACAATTTTTCATCATGGCGCTGCAAATTATCTGATAATAMTGAATTGATGACATACTAATTTTCTAATCTTTAAAATCAGCTAAACATTTCTAAAGCGATAAATCATTTTCATTTTCATATAAATTGTGAGTCAGACAACCATTTTTAATGAG